TTAGAATTCTACAGGTAAATGGCCTAAAACATCTGTGACATCCTAAAATGAAACCGCTAATCACTATATCAGGGATATTTCCTGAAAACAGGTAATACATTTTCTCAAAAGCAACTAAACTCTGTAACACGTTGATACTCAATCCTTTTTTAATTTTTTTTATAAAATATAATGGAGAACATATGGCATTTGACATATGACATAAACTTTCTAAGAAACAACACCAACTTGAATAAAAGTGCATATTTACTGCATTATCCACTCTCTTCATAAACAAAGGGTCGGTAAACAAAAATGTCTGAGAAGCTGGCAGGAAGGGGAGACATGGAGCCCGAAAACCTTGAGGCAACTACCATAAACACCTAGGACAGAGGAAACAATGTATGACATTTTCAACTGCCTGAAGACAGAGTAGGAAGAATGTTGTTAGTGAGCAGATTCGGTAAAAACAAAAGCTATAAGCAACGTTCTTCAACATTATGCAAAATCTTAGGCATTATTTTTCATAAGAATGTAAGAAATTTTACAAATGACAAGAGACCATTTGACCTGTCTAGCACCCCTCCAGCTACCTCTCCTGGAAACCACTGAAATTACCTTACAATCTGTACTGGAGAGATAAAACAAAATGGGCAGCACTGGCTCTAGGCATCTGGTCACCACTTCAGCCTGTATCTCAATGTGTATTTGCCAGTTACAATCAGTCAGTTACAATCAACAGGTAAATACAGATGAAGATGAAATTGTGAGAAATTCTACAAACATGCCAATGTGACTGTTATCAAGTAAGGATATTTCCATGAGAACAATACCAGTGAAATGTATCCTCTTGTGCATTTGTTTTTTGAGGTAGTTAATAACTGTTAAACTCAACAGACTACTAAATGGATTGATTCTTCCTGACTTAGATATATCTTATTTTTAAAGCTTCCATACTTTTGATAGTTGTATAGTTATACACTCACATTTACATACTCTCTCCCCCTAAATATATACTGCCCCATATATACTATACTAATATAAAGAATATATGCAATATAAAATTTAGTCATGCAGGAAACCAATGATTGCCTTTAATCTCCTGATTTATCTGTCTCACTGCAGACTATATATATAATCTACATATTGATTTAAACTCCATTCACACCATTTTACTGCAAAAGTTCCTCTGAAGAGATGCAGGATTGTAGTCCCATGAGTTCTGGTTCACACTTTCTCAGGGTATCTTGAGGTATCCAATTATACTGTTGCTGCCAGCAATAATAGCCAGTATAATAATGTCTTGTATGTTGAGGAGTTTTCCACGATACTTGATATATTATTTTAATTTAATAACTAAGAGACAAAAGAGTGATAAGAGGCTCTCATCTAGAGGCTCTTTCTGTTCTTAAATCCATATTGCCTTTATTAATAATAACAGTTCAACATTAGTTATAGCTATAATACACATATAAAAATAAGTCTCGGCACACACAACAGTATTAAAGCTCAATACCAAAGTATTATGTTTGCCATATGCACGTCTTATTTGTTAGTTGCCTAACATGACTTACAATGGAACTGGGAGTAAATGACCAAATAAAAAAACATTATTCTCCTCTGGTTAAGGCATAAGTTAATTGGGTTCAATATGTTGGGAAATTCCATTTAATTTGCCCACTAGACAAACTTGGCACTTCCCTATCTTTTTATAATTTGTATGTGGTAATTAATTTGTAACATCCTTCTTCATTAATTCCAATACAATAAGCTGTATAAAAACCCAAGTAGTGTCCCTCCATCAATATTTAAGTAAAAAAAAGTCATACTTTACTGTTATTTTATTACGTGGGGAATCTAAATTTACTATTCAAGCACAACTTTCACTGAGGATTCTATAGCCATGAATCAAAATAAGGAAAACATTGTAAGCCTCCAAAAGTGAATATAATTTATGATATATCTAAAATTTTAGATTTTTTTTAGATTCTATTCTATTGCTGAATTAGACAGAAAAATAATATTAAAGATAGTTAAAATACTACAATGAGTGTCCTTAATATAAAAGTGGCAACTAAATTGTGCAAGCTGAGTGAGAATGCCTCATGATTCCCACAGAAGATATACTGAGTAAGAAAAATATAAGACAAAAGTTACATCATATAACTGCAATTTATTCATTGTAATTGGGCTTGAAAAGCCGCAGTTATGAACTACAGACAAGCAAGACAGTATAAAGCTAAAAAAACAGGTAAGTGACAGAAAAATAAAAGTTGTTTCAGAAATAAAGGACTTCACTGCAAATGGCAGCTTTTTTTACATCCAAAAATGTCAATGCCAATAAGGAAATAGAACATGATCCTGAGGCATAATATGTATACCGTGCAAAGTTCTCAAGGAGTATTCGCATGCAAAAAGAGAAAATGTCTGAACTTTGCAGCTTATTTATAGGATGACATGCATTCTACCGCTTAGAGTAAAACTGACGTGAAGTTAAAAACAAATGCTCACAAAGGGACTCAAAACTCAATCTCCAAGAGATAACAAGGATTAGAGAGTTAATCACCCTGCTGAGGTACCATGCAGAACACTACTGGGACATGTTGCAGGCAAGAATCATCTTGCTGGGAGAGAATGATCTACACTCTGAATGACTAAGATTTAACATTTCAAATACAGAGTAAAAAAAAATACTATAAGGGTTGAAAAAAACATGTCTGAGAAACTGGGTTGAAAAAAATTAAAAACCTTAACAACAATAAACAACAAAAGATTTATCAAGTCTGAACAGAAATCTTATTTTAGAACTATTTCTAAGGCGATTAAAGGATAATCTTGTAATTATCTTAAAACATAAATCAAAATCTAATCCATTATTAAAGATGGTATTTCAGACCTCATATTAGAAATTAAAACAGTTTTTACACATTTAGACATCACAATTATTTGCACAATTTCACTGTACATAAACTTTAAGTATCACCATACATAATAATTATAATTAATAACAATTGCTTACACTTATTTAGTGCTTTTCTGGACACTCCACTCAAAGCGCTTTACAGGTAATGGGGACTCCCCTCCAACACCACGAATGTGCAGCATCCACCTCGATGGCAGCCATAGTGCACCAGAACGCTCACCACACATCAGCTATCAGTGGGGAGGAGAGCAAAGTAATGAAGCCAATTCATAGATGGGGATTATTAGGAGGCCATGATTGGTAAAGGCCAATGGGAAATTTGGCCAGGACACTGGGGTAAGACCTATACTCTTTTCGAGAAACGCCCTGGGATTTTTAATGACAACAGAGAGCCAGGACCTTGGTTTTACGTCTCATCCGAAGGACAGCGCCTGTTTACGGTATAGTGTCCCCGTCACTATTCTGGGGCATTAGGACCCACACGGACTGCAGGGTGAGCGCCCCCCACTGGCCCCACTAACACCTCTTCCAGCAGCAACCTTAGTTTTTCCCAGGAAGTCTCACATCCAGGTACTGACCAGGCTCGCACCTGCTTAGCTTCAGTGTGTTGCCAGTTGTGAATTGCAGAGCGATATGGCTGCTGACACAGGAATATGTACATTTATGTAATCTGCATTGAAATGAACATTTACATTGTGTTCAATAATCTTACCCAAGGATAACTTGCATTGTGGAGGATACACCTTCATTATCCAGAAACACAAAAAGTGTTTATTTGAAAGATATTATCAAAGCCATGTCAAAACTTTACAACAAAGAATGACCCAAACAGATCTATAAAAATGTCATGAAACGAAATGTCAGGAATGTTGTGACACAATCTATAAAAAAAGGCCAACAGAGACTCTTCTTTCTTAGAAAACTCAGGTACTTTAAGGTTGATAAAACTGTTCTTACACTTTTCTACAAATCACTTATTGAAAGTGTCTTATCATACTGCTTCACTTGTTGGTTTGGCAATACAAGTACCGGTAATTGTTATAAGCTGGGTAAATTAGCGAATATAAGTAGCTAAATAATGGGGAATAATCAAATCAACTTAAGCATCCTTTACAAACAGAGGGTGCCTAAGAAAGCCAAAAGCACCAGGGAGTGTGTGTCTCACCCCCTCCATTGTGAATTCACACTTCTCCCATCTGGGAGATGCCTCTGTGCCCTCACGTGTAAAACCAACAGACTCAGGAAATCTTTCATTCCCACTGCAATTACACTCTTAAACAATGCAAAGTAACTACCTTGTCTCATTTCTTTCTCTTGTAACATTGCTGTATTCTCTTCCCTTTTGATAATGTGTATTGTCATTGTGTTGTGTTTGACTGTGCCATAAAACAAATTTCCCCAAGGGGACAATAAAGCTTGAAATTGAAATTGACCTGCAGCAGCAAATGTAGTGCTGTAATTTAGTCTAAGCTTTGATTTCTAAGAATAGTAAATATTTAGCATCCAGGTGTTCCATCCATTGTGTTTCACAGCATTTTAGCAAGAAATGTTAGACATGAAATTGGACTAAAATGACCTAATGTCTGTATGTTGATGTATCACAATGTATCATTACTATGATATATTCATTCACCAAGTGACAAACATGTGAGGATATTGGTGAAGACATTCAGGCTAAACTCAAAATACAGAAATGATCAGAGACAATATCACAAATTAATACTTTTCTTCTCAAAATGCTGAATGCTGAATTTAAAAGTTTCAAAGCATTGGGTATTCAAGCATGAAGAGTATATGACATATAATTTGCACGATATAAAAATATACACAAATGGTGATTTAGATAAGCACCATTGGTGGTGGTGTAGGGGAGTCCCCATTACCTGTAAAGCGCTTTGAGTGGAGTGGCCAGAAAAGCGATATATAACTGTAAGCAATTAATAACAATTACTGAAGAATTTAGTTAAGTAGAAGCAATCAGAATAGTATTATAATAGTTTTTCACGATGAATTTATAGAGTTCAATATGAACTTATATAGTTCTAACATATAAATCAATGTTAATGTTAATCATAAACAATAACAGTAATTGTGTTACCTTCAATTTTTTGGCTACTTCCACATGATTATCGTAGACAAGGATTTCCACAATTAAGTCCTGCAAGTCTTGGATGGCAGCCATATTACCTTCAATGGCACTGGGTTCAACAAGGATCTTTAGAAGGCGATGTGGGCATTTTGTTCCATCCCAGACCTGTTTGAAGAAAGTGGTATTCTTGAGTTGTTTTTCATGTTCTTGATTTCTTTTACTCTATGGAATGTCTCACCTTATCATTTATCTACCATTCACATTATTTATTGGCCAAACTACACTTCACAATACTCGGAACGAACGACAACATTTTCTGCCTGTTCCAAGTTTTGATACAAGATCTGCTACATTTTGCTTCATCCATTCTGTCCTATATTTTGACAAACCTACTAGTCCCTGTCAATCAAAAGCAACCCCAAGACATTATGATCCCACCACCATGCTTCAATGTAGGGATGGTACTCTGTGAGTGACGAGCAGTGCTCTTCTTTCGCCATGCATAATGCTTGGCAATAAAACTGAATAACTCAATTTTTGTCCCATCAGACCACAATTTATTTTCCACATTGTGTCAGAGGCTCCTACATGCTTTTTTGCATATTCAAGATGGAACTTCATGATGTGTTTGTTTCAAATATGGCTTCCTCCTTGACAATATACCATACAGTCCAGATTCTTGGAGTACCTGAGTTATTGTTCACTCATAGTTTCTCAATGTCTCAATTCTGAGACATTATAGATCTTTTAGGGTTATTTTCAGCATTTTATCTTTCGTATTTTCGGGTTGTAACAATAAAATGTGCCAAAATACAATAGGGGTCAAAACATTTTACACACACTATTTTTTTCTCATATAACAGTTTGTTTTGGAGCTGAAAAAACATTTGTGATTTAACGGACATTCAGCAATAATTGAGACCCCTTCACCTTATTAGTCCATTAATCAGAGGGTTTAAAATATAAAAAAGAGCTTTATGGAGGATACACCCTCTTCATCCATAAAAACAGAAAAGTACTTATTTGAAAGTTATTAGAAATCTTTTATCAAAGCCATGTCATAACCTTACAACAAAGACCGCCCCAAGCAGATATATTAAATTGGCATGATCTGCTGCAGCAAATGTAGTATATAATTTGGTCTAAACCTTGCTTTTTTAACAATTATCTCTGTTCCATAACTACCTTTAAAACAACTCACTGAAAATCAGAGAAACACCCTGACTGTTCATCCATTTTATCTACATACCTTATACAGTTCTAATTAGTTTTAGTTTAATATAATATTTTTTCTATTATTTCTATTTGGATAAAAATACCCAAGTTTCAGTCTGCTCTGAAATTCTGAAGTTCACTTTAGCTTCCTTTTGGCCTAAAATTCACTACAATTTTAAATACCAAATGAAATTGATTGCAGCAATAACATACACGTCCATCTGTTTTATTTTTAATGAAATCAATTCACATAAACATTCTCTTTCACATGCTATGTGCTATGTTTATCAATTATTCTATTTATAAATGCATTCACAATAGAATAATATAGCAATAACACTACTGCCATTAAGATTACTTGTTTCCTTTCCTGTCTGTATCAAAATCATAAACCATTGTACAGCAAACCTGTTTTAGAAATGCAGATTGCTTATGCTCCCAAGTTAACATATGCTTAAAAGCATAAACTGATAAGGTCTCAACCAGGTGAAAAAATATTGAATTAGTTAACTTTCTTCAGTTCAAATATTATTTTGATAACCATATTCTAGATAAGTTGTTGGTGTACCAGAATCATTCGAAAGACCAACAAGTTACATTCTATCTAGAGCTTAAGGGACTATCACACATTGACAGGCTAAAAGAACTGAACCTTTTTAGTCCTGAACAGAGCGGACTATGAGGGGACCTGAAACAAGTATCCTCAAAATCCTCAAAGGTATTGACAAAGTCAATCCAGTGAATTTTAGAATCAAACGTGAAATACAAACTGACACATACTGTACGAGGAAGTGCATTTAAAACTGAAATCAAGAGGGACTCCTTTACCAAAAGGGTTATGGAATCAGCTATCCAGTATTGTTGTTGAAGTACAGTTTTATGCAAAAGTTTTGGCACCCCTGGCCAAATTACATGTTTTGTTGATTTTCAATTTTAAAAAAAGAAGTTAACACAGCCTCTGCAGAGAACAAACTTACACTTGGCATGTTTCTGCAAATATTAATGCACAGTTACTATTATTTGCTAAATGTAAAAGACTGAAAAAAATAAAACAGTATACAGTATGTGGCATGTGCAAAAGTTGATCCATTAGTGTCCTAACTTAATTGACTCGTTAGGCCTTAATCTAAGTCAGGTAATGACAATTCCAGAGCTTCATAAATTCTCTGACTCTTCAAAACTCTCAGGGTGTTGTGCTTACACTCAACAACCATGGGCTCCTCTAAGCAGCTGACTGAGGAAGCACAAAAATAAAGATAATTAACTCATACCAAGCAGGGGAAGGCTATAAAAAGATATCTAAACACTTCCTGCTTGCAATTTCCACTGTCGAAAATGTTATTAAGAAATGGAAGTTAAGGGGAACTGCTGAAGTCAAGACAAGATCTGGAAAATCAAGAGAAGTCTCTGATAGAACTGCTCGTAGACTGGTCAGGAATGCAAATAAAAAACCCCATATCACTGCAAAGAACCTGCAGGAAGGTTTAGCTGGAGTAGTGGTGCACCGGTCCACTGTGTAGCATTGGTTACACAAAAATGATCTGCATGTAAGAGTCATCAGAAGGAAACCTTACTTGCGATCTTATCACAAATGCTTGATGAAGTAAAAATTTAGATCTGAAACATGCAGTGCATGCAAGATGACCTACGATATTTCTGAACTAGAAGCGTTCTGCAAGGAAGAGTAGAGAAACAAATCCTAAAGCAAGAATAGAAAGACTGCTTTATATTTTGTGTTATTATTATTATATTATATTTAAGTTATTGCACGTGTCAACAAATAAAATGAATCACTGGTATGATGTTATAGCTAACCCTGTATTAATGGTTATTTTTTAAATTCTTAGTAGAGTGATTTTTTTTACTTTTTAAATCTTGTTTTTATACAAAGTAAGTGTACTTACAGTACTCCTTTCCCACCCAATCAACTGACTCCTGCTCTTGCGATTTGTATTATTCTCTTTCTCATATTTTTTTTTACCCTTTTCTGCAAAGCACTCTAAAAACAGTCATGATAACTGAGGGGACCAGAGTTATTTTTGTTATTTAAAGTATCTTTTATTTCATAGTACAAAATTGAGTCACATACAGACATAACTGGTAACAGGTGTTCACACAAAGCACATTAACGTTTTCAGGAAGAAAACTGAATAACTAAAGCAGGGGTTCCCAATCCTGGTGCTAGACACCCACACACCTGTCGTTTTTGCAAGTTGCCTTAATTCAGTTAAGCAATTAAGCTCAGCTGGAATGAAAAGCAGCAGGTGTTTGGGCCTCCAGGACCAGGATTGGGAACCCCTGAACTAAAGCATAACCCATGATGCACTGTTGTTTAAACAAACAATCCTTGTTAACCAAGCTATGCCTTTTAAGGACTGATGCAGGTCAGCCGAGGTAGATCAGAGAGATGAAGATGCTGTGAAAAAGGATGTCCACATTTACTGTCCTACTGAAAAGTTCATGAATAGAGAGAATTTGGTTAGCAAATGTGGAAAAAGTGGTCACTACATTTTTTGTGTGAATAAGCAAAATTGCAAATATCATGTTTCTATTGTATTTCTGTTAGACACTGTATTGTTTATGTATTGCATAAATAATTATTTGTAAGTATTATTAAATTCTTAGTACTAATAATAATTGATAAAACTACACAATTTAGGTATACCTTATGAGTCTTGATACGACGTGCTATAGTTGTTGAATGTGATACTACAGAAATCTCGACATAAAAAAGTATAATCAAATAACCAATCTCCATTTTCTGAGACACGACAATTGTTCCACCTGTATTGTTTGCTTATGTGATCATCACTCTTCCTTAGGTATTAAAACATTTTGTACAGAAAAATTGTGCAGACAAGCAAAACTTTTTCTCCAATATAAATTTATACTCCCATGCTGTCATAAAAATGAAATTAGATTTTTGGCTATTGTGATGTTCTTGTAAGAAATTCCTAATTCTTATTCCACAGAGTACTGCTCAGCATTGTGTGCCCTTCAGTAATGATCAGCTCAGGCCAAAAAACTCTATGGTTTAATGAACTGTCTGGTCTTTACTCATCTATAGCCAGTGTCCCAGAGCAGTCACACAGAGCAGATAAGGCAACTTGAAAACAGCCTTACAGGAAACAACACTTTCTGTCCAAAGAAGCTTACACTTGGTTTGGCATAGGTTACTATCTCCTGTAAACCCATTAGAATATAAAAAAAACCTTTGTGGTTTTGTTCACTATCTTATGAAATATGTGTGCTTTAGCGATATATTTAAAATAATCAGATCCTGAAATGAACTCCTGAAATGAATTATATAACAGCTCATACCTTTAAAAGTACACAGGCTCTGCTGATTTCTGCCTTTGCCAGAAGCTGACAGGTCAAATCAAAAAATGACTTAGGCTGAACTGTAGCCAGGCTTATTTCCAAATTTGGATAGATAGTTGCTGCCCATTGACGCAATTTCTCTACAATTCTTCTATCTTCTTCCCCAAAATGGTAGGTTTTGCTTGATGTTCGAGGACATACTGGAGTTCCCACTCTACCATCAAATGTTAGGGCAGAAAAACCCAAACTAGTCATCCCACTTAGCTTGCTGTTGAACAGGAGAGACTGTTAGAAAGCAAAGACAACAACATTATGATTCAGAATAACATATGGAAAGAAAGTTAAATTCAGTAAGTATATTTATATACTGAGCATCAAAAAGAAACATTTATAAATGTAAATTCACAATGCTATCAGACAAATAATCATCTTTTGAAGAAGGTAGAGGAACCCTGCCATTTTATTAAACAGGTGTAAGTAAATTCATTAGGTGGGCTTAAATTAGTCATCTACAATGTTGATCAACAAGGGTTCTACTCTGAAAATCACAGGGTAGTACTTTGTGTGGCCACTGTTGTAAGAAATGCAACCAGCAACCTGCAATGCTTGTTTTGTACCTGGTTGCAGATGCTTTCTTGTGGAATCAGGTCTCATTCCTCACCAAGAGCCTTGGATAATAATAATGTTACAGATACCACATATCATTCCAGCTCATCCCACAAATTTTCAATGGGGCTCAGGTCTAGTGAGCAGGGCATGTACAGTATGACTTTCATATTGTCCTCAGACAGCAGGAAACCTGTTGCCTGTTACATGTACAGCATGGGGAAATACATTGTCTTGCTGGAATGTAAAGTCAGGATAAGCCTGCAGAAAGGGTGGAAGTCATGTCATTTGTCATCAATCTCTATTATTGTGTACAACAGACCTCCCCATTGATTGGTTTGTTGTATACAAAAAATTGTATATATTTCATACTTGCTGATGAGTGAAATAAAACCTTGATTCATGACTAAAGAGAACATGGCTCCACAGCAAGCAGTACAGTAGCCCAGTCTCCCAACATACTGTTGACATAAAGGCCTTGTTTTCTTGATAAACACTTTTCTGGTTTGTTTCTGTATTCTTGATTTTTAATGAACTTGACATTCCACAGGTTAAATCACCTCATCACCTGTGCTAACTCAACTCTTTCACTCATGAGGTGATTTAGTGCTAATGCAACAAAGTCACATGAGTGCATCAGAGTTATTCATGAAAGGTGAACTAAAATATACCTCTACAACATTTCAACAATTCCTGCAACACTGGACAAATATCCCGTTGGCTGCACAATAAAACTCAAACTATGATGTGATTACTTTCATACAAAGAACTAAAAAATAATGTATTACCTTTATTCTATGAAAACGGACAATGTCACCAATTTTGTAGATTTGGGGAAGCGCTTCTAATTTCTCATTGAATATCGAGCATCCAAGTTTCACACCAGATTCATCTGTAATCGTGAGTACCAAACAATAATCTGAAAGACACAAAATGAGCAACATACAAACATAATACATTTTCACATAGTCACTACAGATTTCCAACAAATGATCATATTAAATTCAATTTATAGAGTTCAAAAAACATTGCTACAGTATATTGAGTCTATTTAAAGTTATTCACTGAAGATAGTTATGAATACACCATCAAATCACTTAACAGAAAACATAATTAATAAATTCGAACAAGAACAATAATTCCTCTTCTTCCTTACACAATACGGATATGTAACACAATAAAGATCTTGATCATTGCTGTGTTCACTTTCTGAAAAACTAGAGCAGAAAAATCCAAAAGCCTATTTTTGTGGATGGCTATATAATTACTTCAGGTGAATTTACATACTAATTTTTCAAGTGACTTTATGGAATAAATTTATAGATTTCATTGCAGCTATGATTTCCTTCACAATTATTCATAACATTTCAACCAGGTGATTGCAGTGGTCAATCCCACACTTTGCTATGCGTTCATTATTTGCTGACTAAGTTTCAGAGCATGCCATAAGAGTTATAAGGTGTAATTTCTGTCAAGAGCTCGCCTACATACTTTATCCTCAATGAGCCAAAATGTAGGATTTGGTACACATCATCATAGAATGCATCAGCTGATCGTTTTTTTTCTTGTAGACTTTTTACTGACTGCGTAAACAATCAGATTTGGAAACAATTTTTTCTCATCATCGGATGTTTATTAAGAACTCATTCTGCTTGTGTACCATTTGGGAAACTACAATATATAATTTTCTTAATAGGATATCCAAAGATTGGCCTTATTGACTAGTCCCTTGCTTATAATGACATCATTGTATCTTATCCTTTAAAACTGATAATGCTCAATTATTCCCACTGTTCTTCGTCTGTTGGCATAGGAGGTCTGCGGAGATCTCACAATATTTTTGCCTGACGTATATTTAACTTGATCTCCCCGGCCATAATATACCTGCTGTTTTGTTCACAATAACCGGTCCCGATATAAGTCAGGGAAAAACAAAAGCTCATCGGGGATATCACATAATTGTTCACAGAATCTTTTTGGTTTTTAAAAGTACACTCAATAATAGTTCATAACAATTTGTGGAGTATTGCAATTAAAAACTATTTATTACAAAATGATTGTAGAGGCAAGCTATGTAGGTTATTAAATAGTTTCATTGAAAATACATTCAAAAATATATATTGTCTGAAAAAACTCAAAACTAATTTATTCAGCTTTCCCAAAAACTTGTATAAGCTGAAGGATTTGCTTTTTATAATCATTTTTCTTTTCGTACCAATGTTGTAGCACTTCAAAAAGACGAAAGTATTTGATTCTATAACAATCTGATTTCAAGTGAAGTCATGCTAATTTTGGAATAATAAAATAGTAGTATTTTATATTAAATACATAATCTACTGTATATATATATTTACTATGCATCAAAGAAACCTCCTGCTTATAAATTCAACATTCACAAAATTATCATAAGGCACAGAAACATTTTTTTGTATTACTGATTATCTCATGGAACTGAAATAATATGATTAAAGTCATTGTTCTGATTAAGATTTCTCTTGGGAAATGTGTGGCCACAGTAAGAAACCATTCATGTGTGATGCATGCCTTGAAACAGGCTGCAGATGCTGTGTTGGAGTATTGTGCTCTGGGCATTAAACCTGCACATGGACAATGTTGTCACTGGTCTCTGAGTCCTACTGTACATGACTCATTCATTGTACAGTCATTAAAGTGGTGATCTGTAGCAACAAGACAATCCTGCTCAGACCATCATACTTGGACCTTTATATCAATTGATTTGGTGTACACAGTTAGCATTATTCGGTAGTCAGTTTACAGTTTTATCATTTGCCCCCTCCGCTGATCGTTTTTGTTCGACGATAGACTGACAGTATTTATTCTATGGTGGTGCTTCCATTCTGACCTTATGGATAGATGATACAGTAACTTAACTGATGAGCACACTGCCAGTAATCGGCTGCCAGCGTATCCATCTGCTACCATCCATTTGGTTCCTGCCACCAAAAACATTGAAGCTGGGTGAAAGTGCTTATTTAATCTTGTGGCATTATATAGTTATATTTCAGAATAATACTCTAAGCTTAACTTTTTTAAGTGAATGATGCAAACTTAGGACATTTTACCAGTTTAGTGTGATGTGTATAGTTGTAGCATAGTTAGTATTGTTTATAATTTGTATCTAAATATAGAATTAAGGAATACATTTGTGTATTTTTTTAAATTAAATAGTAAAATAGTAAAGATAAATTAAAGATAAAGATCAATAATAATAATAATAAAATAATAATAATAATGATAATAATAATAAACGGTAAAGAATAAAAAAGGCCAACTGTATATATGTGAGTAAAGAATTAAGTTGTATCTTTTTAGTTGCACTCCATACTCCAAAGTTACATGCTTGCTAAATAACTAAACTAAAAGTATTTCATTTAACACTTGTATTCTGACACCCATCTAATTAAAGAATGGAGCTTGGCTGGTTGTCAAATTAAGGCAGAAAACACACAAGGACAACAGTACAAGTATATTGTTCTGCAAGTATGTGTCACACCCTCTGACTTCCATCATTGTAAACTATACATATCTTAATCACTAAAGAAACTAAGGCTCCACTAGAGCCTACTATCATACATGATGACACTGATCACTCCCCTGATACACTGACATATTTGTTGCTTTTTGTGTTATTTATATATATACTACATTTATGCTTGCCTTTTCTGCTCTTGTAAACCCACATTCTTTACAAGACATATAAATGTTGTTTTTTTATGAGCTGCTCAGTCTCAGTTTATCATTTCTTATCTGCTTTTTGCTATCCACATGCAACACTCTTAATTGATGATTTACATCATCGAGATGATTTACTTTGCATTGCCTACAGTTTAGTAATCTTCCTAATTCAGTATACACTGAACACTTCACTAATATACTCAATGTACCAGACTTAACACCAGTTATACAAAACAGGAAGAGCAGTCCTTGCACAGATTCCTGTGGTACTCTAACTGCATTACAAAAAAACATTGCAATCCATTGACATTCTATTAGGCAGATGGAAAATAGTGTCCAACTACAAAATGTATAAGATTAAAAGTAAGTAATTACTGCACATATATCAAAAAGGGAAATCTTACATAGTCTTTAGGTACTCATGCCTGTTACAGGCAGTGCATAAAATGGCAAGGACAAATGGCTTTCATACTCATTAGACTTCAGAAATAAATGTGGATAATCTGCATAACAAGATATATTATTAAATATTCAAACACATTAATCTAAAGGACAGGTTTGCAATGAATGTGGTTTCTTGTTGTACCAAAACAAAGAGTTAATTGAATCATATTTTTTCATTTAGCTATAATGAGATTATACAATTTAGTCATCTGTGGGATATCGTTTACTGCATTATTTAATATTCCAGAGACAATCTTAACATATTGTCAATCTTACCTCTTTAGTAATGCATTATTTTAATAATTAGGCACTACTACATTCATATAAAGTCATACACAATGAGACTGATTAATTTGTCAGAAACTAAAAGTTTAGCAATAAAGGCCTTTCATTTAGCCATATATTCTATTCAGTTTGTATATAATTCCATTAGTCAATCATATCTGCACTACATTAAAATGCCCATTAATAAAGTACAAAAACATTTGGTACTATTTTGGAACACTACACCAACAATGGTCATTCAGCAAGATGCACATAATTATGAAGAAAAACTGTCAAGAGTTTCAATGAAAAGTATCAGCAAATGCTTGTAGTGTTCACATTTTAAATTTGCAATTAGACTTTTAAATTCACAATACATTACTGTGATGGAGTTTTTTAACTTAACTAATTTAAATTGCATTAATATTTAGAATTTAATGTTAAAAAAATCCAGAATAGCCCCAAGGTAAGACATTTTAAATGCATTCATTTAGAGTATCGTGGAAAAAGACCCTTCCTAGTAACCATGGCGTACCATTTTGTGAAATTAATAATTTATTCAAAATCTGAACACGCAAACTGAAACTTTCTAAGGGAAATATATACTATTGTAAACGTTAGCAAAAACAAAAAAGAAAAACCTGAAATATATTAACTGTGTAAGAATTCAGACCCATGAACTTAATATTTGGTGGAAGCACCTTTGGCAGCAATTATAGCAGCAAGTCTTTTTGGGTAAGTCTTCACCAACTTTGTACACTGGCTTGATTAATTGTTTTCCTATTGTTCTTGGCAGATTTGCTTAAGCTGCTTAATGATGGCTTACGAACAATGGTTTTCAAGTTTTTCCAGAGATTCTCAATAGGTTTCAAGTCAGGACATTCACTATCTTAAGAATAAGACACTCCAGTGTAGCTTAGGACTTGCGCTTTGGGTTGTTTTTCTCTGAAAGGTGAATTTTCACCCCAAATTTAAGTCTATAGCAGACTAAAACATGTTTTTCCCTAAGTATCAGTGTTGATATGCTTCCCAGTCCCCACCAATGAGAAGCACAACTATTGCTACCACCACCATGCTTGACAGTAGAGATGGCGTTGACTCGATGATGAATTACGTTGGGTTTGCAACAGATGTAAAGCTTCAGATTTACCTCGGAAAGCTCCAATTATGTCTTATCTAACCACAACACTTTGTATTTCATGTTTGCAGAATCACTTACTGTAAGTACTTTGTCGCACGCCTCCTTTGTGGGGTGACTGGGATATGGTTGACCCATGGCCATTTTCTCCTACCTCTGAATTTTCAAAATCGCCCTTGGCAAGTTTCCTCCTTGCCCAGCTGCTCAGTTTGGAGGGACAGACTGATCTAGGTAGCATCTGGATGCCTCCACTTAATTATCAACTTCACCATGCTCATAGATATATTAAGGGTTTACTTTTATGCCCTTCAGTTCTGTACATG